GTGCACATATAATAAAATTGTAGTACAAAACAGAAATCCAACTGTTTTGTTGATTTTTATTACTCTAGCTATTGGTAGCTTAAGAGTTTAACAGCTGTATTTTAGCTAAAAATATATGACAGCTCATTTTTAGGTGCCTTTTAAGAAATTAAGTCTTGTGAAAAGATATTTATTCCTAGATTTCAGAACTATATTTTAGTACTAGAATATCCAATAATTTGTTGAGTTGAATTACTGAACATTCATAGACATTAAGAAACACATGAAAATATCCTACAATATTCAATTTTGTGTTTCTGATTTCTTTTTTTTTTTTTTTTTACAAAGGGTGACTGGTGGTCACATGGTAAAGCACTGGAACCTGCCTTCCGACCACCATATGACACTAAGAGCACCCAGAGAAGTGACTTCCAAAAACCAACATATCCATTGGTTTTGCCAGTCAAACACAGCAAGATGCAAAAGGCTTCTTGTGGAATAGGTAAGGTTAGCAGTGGTGAAACCTCTTTTTGTTATCTCAGGTTACCGCTCTCAAATTAAGATGTATTAGATGTGCTGACAGCTCCTAAAAAAAATTGCTTCTCAACAGGAGTTGAAAATATACAGCAAGTGCAGCCTTTGAAAAGTTTGTTATCTCTTCTTCGTGGACGACTTGTCTCCAAACATTTTTAATATAATGTAATGAAAATTGTACCAATCATTAATAACACCAGCCTCCAAATTAGAAACTTAGTAGCATTCTGTTCATTGTCGTTGCCACCAAATTTTAATAATTATAACTATTAAAATTGTAGGTGACAATAAAGGGCAGTATCTCTAAAAGTACACTCTGAGGAACACAAGTTTTATATGACGTTTGCAGATACTGCTCAAAAGAACAGGTGAAGTGGTCAAATAAGTTTTGCAGAAAACGAACTTGAAAAAGTGAAACAGATTTTTTTTTGCTGCATAACTCTCAAAATTCTTATTCAAAATATAAGCATGATGAATTTCCAAGAAGCAGAATGAAGAATGCTGCGTTTCCCACACTTATTGATCATCACACATGACTGGTGTCCCCCAAACCATTATTTAGGAAATACTGTTACATAAACTATTAAATAAAACATTTTCAGACTTAAAAGTTGATTTTACCTAACAATGTCATTATAATAAACGAAGTCACTTTTTATTCAAGTTTTGCCTGTTTCTTAACCCACATCCTAGTCATCTCTCTCTCTCGAGTGGGATTTAGCAAGTGCAGGATCAAGTCAAAACAAAACTACATTTATTGAGCACCCACTCTAGTCCTCGCCCCATATAAAAGTTCATAAGCTAAACTTCAAATAAGCCACTGTAAAATATGACAGTGGACAACAAAGGATTGCTTTTAAAGGTCAAGAGTTTCTCACTTACTTTTAGCCTCTGGCTTCTGTGATTTGGTCAGTCTAGTTAAGGATACAAAGGGCAGCTAGATTGAAGGTCAGGACATTAGAAAATGGTCATATTCAGCATGATTTCTACCTCAAGAGAGGTAGTTAATTAAGAGAGCTAACTATTAGATAATCTGTAACAATGACCTCTCCTTTAGAAAAATAATAAAGTTTCTGCTTCTGATTCAAGATAGCAGACTGAGCACAAACATCCAAATTCCCTGCTTCCCAAGACCCTATTACTATAAATAGTAGCAAAGCAATAAACCCATAAGGTGAAGAGAATGGAAAGAAGAACTGAATGTGGGGAAGAATGGAACCTATTGATGGATAAAAGAGAAGAAGCAATACCTAGAAGAAGTTGCAGCAAAGAAGAGACAGTCTGCCTGGCAAAAGCCCTGACT